TTTTAAACTGTATAAAAAAAATTGAAATCAATTGTGAAAATCCATTCCTTATATAGGACGTTCCCTCCTGTTGTGACTTATCTAAGGGAAAACATTTGTGCAGATGGTTTGTTTATACATCTAGATATAATTATATTTTAAAATCGGTGTTGCCTAAACTATCCCTTGAAGCTGTCAAGCCAAGGACTCGTCTTCATTAGTTGATCAGGAACTTAAAGTCCGTTAAAATACAATTTGGAGCTACACGATAATAAGCATACCAAAAACAACAATGTAATGGTGATATATTAATAGATCAACCAAATCCGTTATACTCAAATGAACAATTCGCAGCAATAAGTTCCGCAGAAATAAATTCCGCAGCAGCAATAAAATTTTCAACTGAAATACTCATTTCTGAAAAGATTAATAATAATGATAATATCGATGAGCTAAATAGAGTTATTTTTAGTTTTCGGAGTTAATTTACGAGATTAAAGTATTCTTAGTATTAGTATTGTGAAAATGACGAAACAATTCTTATTCTCCGTTTGAAGGGGAAAATTTTAAACAGTTTTTGTATCACTTGAAGTATTAATAATTAAATAAAACAAATAAAACATTTACTATTTTTTACACTTTGTGTCATTCTTTTTTTAGAAAGAACTATAAATAAAAAACAATATAAATACCTCGAAAATTCATTGGATTTTTTTTTTATAAACACAATTAACACTCAAAATTTCTTTTAAAGATGAACTCTAAATTTTACAGTAAAAATAAACAATTACATAAAATAAATACAAAAAATTTACAAAGAAAAAATTCCACAACCTCCATGATTCAATTTGCACACTTAAACAACAACAATAATCTTATCAATAACAACAATAATAATAATAATGGCAACAGCCACGAAGATGAAGATGAACTTGGAGCCTCAGGAAATATTTATAACGAACATAGAAGCCATCTAGAACAAGATAAAAAGGCTCGAAAAGAATTGGATACATTTATTCTAGAAGATGAATTATACGATCCAATATCAATATCTGACTTAAACGATGCTAATACTAATAATAATAATGTCAGTAATTTTTACAGCAACAGTAATATGTCATGGGAACATTATAAAAATGATTTCTTTATTTTTAATAAATAACAACATCAAGGGATGATGGATAGAATAAGGAATAAACGAGACAAACTTCAATTAGAATAATCCTTTTGGAATGAGAATATTTTTATCCACGCTTTTGATTTTCTCTCTTGTAAATAAATATATTTAGTATATTTAATTAACACTATTTTCTTTTATTGTAAATATCTTCAAATATATTTTTTTTCATTTTCATTTTATTATTTTCAATCCTTAGTTAGATTATATAATTTAGGTACATAAGTTATTTTTAACAATAATAAATATTGTTGTATTTTTACTCACACATTGTATATTGAAATTAAATAACAAATAATATTAAATAAATAATATTATTATTAATATTAATATTATTATAAATAGTATTAATATCTATACCAATAGCCGAAATTTCTGAATCTCCCAAGAACCGTGATTATTATAATTAATTTAATCGTTGAAAACCTTAAAATATTAAATATTAATATGGCAAACAAAGTTTAACATAACACAAATTAAATCACGATGCAAACGCACATGGAAATTTAATATTAATAATGGCACAAATAATTCCAAGGGCCCCAAAGCCACAATAACATTACCCTAAAATACCCAGCAACCCTAATTTTGTTTAATATTAATAATTAATTGGAGAATATTTTTTCTAGATTTGACATCTGATAAGCACATTGACAACTTTGCTCAATAGTCGAGCCTTTTTTTTAGATCAGTGGAATAAATTTTCATTTCTTGGAGAGGATTGGATTTTCTGCTTGATTGTTTCAATGAAGATTTTCTCTTTTTTTTTGAAGCAAAATCAGGTATTTCTCTTTTGTTTTATAATTTTGTAATTGAATAATATTTTATTGAGTTTCGATTAAGGCATTTTGTTCCGTAACTATTCAGGATCAGAGGAATTTGGCTCTTATTATAACCTTCTTTCTACAAGTTGATCTTGTTGTCTATCTTTGGGATCTATTTTTGGGGGAGTGGACTTTATCAGCCAATTTGAGTAAAAGCATATTTGTTAGGACCCGAAAGATGGTGGACTAATACTATGTTTGAATAGAGCGAAGCTAGAAGAAAAAAATTCTGATGTAGATTTGTAACGGCCCGATGTGATCGTCCAATTTTGGTATATTGGTGAAAGACTAATCGAGCCATCTAGTAGCTGGTTCCTGCCGAAGATTCCCCAGGATAGCAGAAACTCGATAATAGTTTTATGTGTAAAAGTTTTAAACATGTAAGAAGACTCAATTAGGTATTCGGTTATAAGAGTTTCTAGTGAGCCCTTTTTGATGATCAGAACTGGTGACGCGGGATGAACCGAATGTGAGGTTAAGATGTCAGAATTTACCTTAATTCAGCAATAAACTTTTGTTTTTCTTTGGCTCAGCTTGATATTTATAATTATCTCCTTCTTTATTGGAATCATCATTGACATATTGTTGACATTTAGAAGGAATAACATCAAGTTTATTTTTGATTCGTTGATTGGCTTGATTTTCAGCTTGTAATCGAGTTTGTAAACTTTGAGTGGCTATTTGGATGTTATTTGTTTATTCTTGATTAGAAGAAGTACTATCGTAACAATCGATTAGAGTTTGGTTAATTAATACATTTGGTGTATCATCAAGACTAGCTATCTACTCCTAAACGATTTTGGAGGTATTGGTAATTTTTTTGACGAGCTAAGTCAAAGGTACCATTTGTTAAATCTTCTTGGGCTACTTTTCGGTTTTGCTGCAGATTTTTACTTTTACATTTTTCTTTCTTTAGTTTTATTATTAGTGATTGTTAGTTTATTTTTAATTGATTATTTCGAAAGAGTTCAATTGTTTCCACCATTCATTGCTCCGAGCTGGGCCATTTAAAAAATGGCTTTTTCATTTATACTCGGTAAAGTTATTATATTCACGTATACAATTATTTGTGGTTTAGTTATTTTATTATTATGCATTTAATTTTTTTACAATAGTAAAAAAAATTTTGTTTAACAAGAATAATTAAAAAAACGATTAATCAAATTAATATTTTAACATCATCATTTGCTTTTTTTGGGTTACTTTTTATCCTATGTACAAACTATTTACCAGGACATATGTGCTTGACTAACCTTTTTGCTCAAATTCTCATGGCCAGTTAATAATATCTGGATCAAAGTCTTAAAGACAGCCAAAGGTATTCCAAGCAGAGATACAGAATCATAGATGTTAGCCGAAAATACCCTTAATAAATTATCATGCTGATATATATAAGTGACCGATTTGGGTGCTCCAAGGTCATTAATGTCTTTGTTTTTTTTTCAGTTGCTCAGGCTATGATCATCTCATCTTTGTTGTTGCCGAAGCAGGCCCTTTTGCCTCTTCTGTTTTTTCCAATACTACTATTGGTATCATAAATCCTTTTTTTTTATTTTTAATAAGGGAATATCTTTAAATTGGATTTGTATGTCAAAAGGAACATCTTGTGCAAAGTTGTGATGATGATTCGCTAGAGCTGGTTATAGCATTATTTAGTTTGTTCTGATGATAAAAAACTTGTATATTTTCCTTACCCTATAAATGGTAGCACAGTGTCTGGACATTTCAAACAACGTTTGTATGCCAGATGCCAACTTCTGATCTAGTTCAGAAAATGCAGTTTTTTAATGATTATTTTTCCAAGCAGTGAGAACAAAAAATATTTTTTAGTAGCCTTGCATGGGAACTGCAATATTTGTCGTATGCCCTAAACAATAAAGATTTGCAACAAACTGCCACGAAAACCGGCATCAACTATCCCATTTTTAACAGAGTTACATAAAGTTTTAAGCAAGCGTTTGTAATTCTCCATATCTGACATCATTGCAGATGCAGCTTTTACAAGAGTGGGCTCTGATGAATATTCAATATACATTCTTTGTCTATCAGGGAAAACATATGAACAGAGATTCGTGGAATTCTTAGATTGTGGTGAAATTGATAAAGACAACCGTGAAAAAAGAACTGCCAGTCGGCCATAGGATATGATGTAATCAAATCATCGACATCCACAATTGTCTTCCAAAAAGAAAAATTCTAATTGTAAGGTGTACAGTAGAAACAAGGTCAACGTCAAAAATTATGATTTTTAAGTTAATAACGCCACTATATTCAATTCGTCATAAAGATTAATTTTAGCTACCCACTTATAAAATCTTTGAAATAGTTACTTGGAATGCATATTTTTTTTATGATTTTCTCAAAATCATGACCTTGCATCTATTGCTATTGTCCACGCCCCAATTTTCTCACTTGCATCTTTATCAAAAACATCAATGAAGTCAAATAAGTAAAATGGATCAAACAATTTCAGATTTTCATGACAAATGCGTTGAAAGTTCTAATGATGTATTTGTGAACACAACGAATATTCCATTTGGCAAACATTGCAAACTCTTCTCAAAAGCAAAAAAGGAGAACCTTGGCCAGATTCATCAAGTGTAAAAGGCGTGCCTCATCAAATGAAAATACAAGTTTGAGTTTAAGATACGGCTGAAAAAACAAATTTGGATTGTACCAAAACCTTCTTCCAGAATTGTGCAAGTCTCTGTTTAGCATTCGATTCAGATGAAATTCTATTTGGCCTTTGGTTTGTTGTTAGGATCTTTCCAATTTTTAATAGTTTTCCAAAAGTCATCTTTGTTACAATATGATCACCAGCCTTTACAAGTACCAAAGGGTCATCTAAGCATGCGCAGGAAAAATCAATAAATTTGTCAATATCACAATTTTGAAATAGATTTGAAATAAATTGTGTTGTTGACGGGTATCTATCCTGTTCTTCTTTGACGGGACATTTACGTTCTTTAACCAGTACGAAGCAGCGGTTGTGACTTTCCACTTCTGCATTATTGAAAGAGACCAATATACAGCGTATAACAAGCGCTGTGTATTGCATCCATTTCTTTGTTTCATTCTCTAAATGATGAAATGAAAGATCTTCTGCTCCTTTATCCGATATTCAACATTGAGCAGCTCCCACAAGCCAAATAATAGACGAATCAAACATGCAACCTCATCATAACATATACAGACAAGAATGTGCACTATTAAATTGGAAATTTTAGATCAAGCAAATTTCTTCTTACCAGAAATTGTTCAATGTCATAGGTATTATATCACAAAATACTCTAACTTAAAAAAAGTAAAAAAAAGAAGATGGATAACTCCACTTATCATGTTCACCATCAATAATATAGGAAAAGAATGAGAAAAAACATACGTTAATTAATGTGTCTCATAAACAGTATACCAAAGTTCTTCAAATAATGGATGAAGAGGGCCTGCTATAATAATTCTAAACAAGACCAAAGTTGATGGTATATCGCTTACCAATTTAAAGAGCTAGAAATTCAGCAATTGGAGTTAGATGATGAGAGGAAAATATTAAATAAAAGAATTGAAGTTTGAATAGTGAATGAAAGGACCGTTGTGATAATTTTCAAACTTTAACTATCCTCCTAATAAACCTGGATACATATACCTTTCTAAATTTACTTAAATTCCCTTTTTTTCATTTAAACGAATTCTAATTCTAAATCGCTTTTAACTGACTTTTAACCACATCTCTCCTTCTCTAGTTTTAATCGCATCTCTTCTCCACCTCTCTCTTCTTTTAAAATGGATATTAAAAAAGAGTCCATGTTATTTAAAATAGTGAAATACTAATGATATTAATAAAGGGTAGGTGATGAAATTTTTTGATATTAGTGGTACAACCGTGGCGCTTATATACAGCAGCTTGGGCTCACAAGATACACACCCAATAAAAAATCGTTTTCCTAAAAAGGATATTTCAGCCAGATGAGATTTTGTTTGTCTGTCTTAACCGTTATTAATAAAGAAAACAATTACCACATTTGGAAATTAATTATCTCTTCTTTGGTCGAATTTTTGCCATTTTCTCTCACACAAGTTTATAATACCCATCAGGTTTATAAAGTAAAAATCTTAAAGCTGTTTTTGAATAAATATAGCTTTACATAGAGAGTCTATCAATATGAGAGAGAGGATTCATTATGAAGCTATAGTGAGTGATATAGCTTTATTTTAGATTTTGAATCTATTCATAAAAAATAATGGGAGATTTTAATATTAAAAACGATTGGTTACACGGATTGGAAATTTCTATTAGTTGCACGGTTTAATTTGATTATTATTATGTTTACTTGAATTAAAATTTGTGGCTGAAATAAGTTTACTTTCCTAAAAATTAATAATCAATATCAGAATTTTTGCGTTTCCTATCCCGCGTAATCGAAGATCTTCCTAATAAAAGGAATTTTATTTATTAATTTTATTGCCTTTATCAAGACAGACGTGCGGAATGTAACATTAAATCACATGACTAATTAAACGTTTCGAGTTCGGATATATGGCTTTTGCGGTATCTCCATTAATATAAAAACTCATAAAGAACCTATAGAGCATTTTTTAGAAAAATTGTTACTATATCGACAGGGTTTCTTGTATGGAGATGGACAATTGACAATTCCTTTTTCTTGCTAGAGAAAGAAAGTAAATTGTAAATCATTATTATGCAATAATTCTTCATTGTATTATTCACTATATCAGACCATTCATCATTATTATTATTACTCGTACTCGCTATTACTCGCTAATTAATTTTTTTTTATTCTACTGAAATTTTTTAATTATTATTAATTATCGTTACACTTTTTAAATACAGCATGAGTTTCGTGTGACTAATAATATTTTTGTTTCCCAATTCCCAAATTTCGAACACATATATCTTTTTTCACCACAAACGTGAATGTTTATATTTTTATCATTATTTATTTATTATTTTAATTATTTATTATTATTACAAATTTTCTTTTTTCTTTTTTTAAACACTTACAAAATCTGTTAGTGCTCTCATATAAATTAAATAATAATAGAGTTATTATTAGTGTTATCAAAAAATTATTTTAATTCATTTTGTTCCTTAAATTCCTTCCTTTTATTTATTTATATATAGATAATATATAAAAATTATAAATAAATCAAAGGGGTTTTTTTTTCATAGAAATATATTCCTTCACTTATAATTGTTGTATATAGCAAAGGCGGTGGGAAGTCCAAGAAAAAATTTTTTTTACCTAATTTACAAAAATGGCAGATAATTCCAAGGCACCAAAAGCTACAGATGATAAGCCAGTAAGTATTTCGTCTTTGTTAATTTATTTAATTTTACCAGGTGGAATTTTCTTCTCCTTTTTCCTTTTTCCTTTTTCTAGAGTAATTAAATATCGTTAAAAGATAATTTTTACGTCAAAAACAATAATAGTAATAATAATAAATTCTTAAGATATTGGGGGTATTAATAGAATAGAGTAAACATATATATAATACATACACAGGAAATGGGAGTATAAAATATGGAACTAATTTAATAGCATATATATAATTTCATTAAACAGTGAAGGAATTTTGTTTATTTAATTTTTTTATGAGGAAAAAAATTGTTTAAATATTTAGGCGTTAACTACTTTCCCTCTTACAATTTAAAAACGTTGGAACAATTATCCTTCTCCATCCATCTCCTCATTGTTCTTCTTAACTCAATTTCTAAGACAAATTTATTTTTATTTCAACTGAATTATTAATAATTAGGATCCAGCAGCAACAACACCTGCTGACAAAGCACCATCAGCACCAGCACCAGCACCAGACCCGCCACAATCACAGCCAGCAAAACCTGCACCATCACCAGCGCCAGCGCCAGCGCCAGCACCTGATAAACCATCACCAGCACCAGCGCCAGCTCCAGCACCCCCAAAAACATCTCAAGCTCCACCGCCGCCACAAAACACGCCAGATCCTCCACCTAAAGCACAACCCACACCAGACAAACCAGCACCATCAAATCAGCCAGCTCCTGATCCACCAAAATCTCAGCCGGCGAATCCTGATCCTAAAAAAACCGTAGTAGTTACTACTTCCACGCAAGATCCTATAACCATTACTTCGACTTCAACTTCCACATCATATCCTTACGAAACAATAAATCCATCTTCTATTAGCCCCACTTCAAGTAAAGCTAAACCAGCAGATAGTAATAGTGCTAATAGTGCTAATGATAGTACAAATGTAGTGACTGCTGCCATAGTTGTTGGAACTGTGGTGGTTGCTGCTGCTATAGGGATTTGGATATTCAGAAAATGGAAACTTTCGGTATTTCTTTATTTTTTATTGTTTTTTTATACTGAAAAAAAAAAATTATATACAATATTATTTATTATCTTTGACTTTTAATCGAATCTTTCTTTTTCAAAAAAAAAGCCTTCAAGAAATTTCAAAGAAAAAATTCAACCAGTTTCATATGTTTCTGAGCGAAGTCCAGAATCTGATACTGTGTTCTTACGTGAATTAAATGAACCATAACAACAACAACTAATATTATTTAAATAAATTATGTTTATTCAGTGAATTAATAATAATAATAATAATAATAATAATATTTTTTTTTTGTATTTTTAGTGACCCCTTCGCCTATCTTCTTTATATGTATGTATATGTATATGTGTATATATATATATATATATATATATATATATATATATGTGTGTGTATGTATGTATATATAAGATGTTTCCTTTCTTTATTTTTTATAATAATAATTATTTTTATTTTTGAGTATAATAATAATATATATATATATACAATGTATTATATATATGCAACTATAAATATATATAAAAATTATTTAAAATGGTGGTAATGCATGAATACATTTACATAAAAAAAAATTATCAAATCATTTGAATGGTAATGTATCAATAATTATTTTTGACAAATTGTGTTTTGTTCCATATTTCCATGCTGAGCTTATTGATATTTTAGTTGCTTTTTCAGGTTAACAATATCATCATTCTTTAGTTGATTATCGTTTGCTTACTCTTCTTTTTTGCTTTTTGTTCACTATACCAATGTTGTTGATCCATCCTCGTTGGTTATTTATATAGTATTTTTTGTGTTAATTCCAAATTTAGAAATGATATACAGATTAATATAAAAAATTCCTTTTCAAGGGTTGTGATCGTGTGATTATTGCATATATATATTATTAATACAGTCAGGGTTTTTACCGAATTTGGAAATACTAAATACTGTAATGATCGACTCTTATGAAAAATTCTAGAAGAAATTCTGATTGGCTAAATTCAATCAGGGATAATACCCTGTAATGATCGACGTTATGAAAAGAAATTCTGATTGGCTAAATTCTGTGCAGATCCTTTCGTTAATCTTTAATGAAAAAGGGAACAAGAAAAACATGACGAAAGCTTTATTTATTGGTCATATAATTTCCATAAAGTAATTAACTTGCACAAATTATCAAGAAAGATTATTCCTAACATTCTAAATTGTAATATTTCTTTAATTCTGAATTCAAATCATTCATTCACTTTAAAAAAAAGAACTTGTAATTATTCTCAAAAGAAAGGTTGTTTATCTTTAATTTACATTTAAGCAATCGGAGAGCTAGATAATTGAATCTTTAACATGTATAAATAACATTATAATTTCCTTGACTTAAAAAAGTAGTTGGAAAAATTCATAATAGTTAGTTAATAATTAATAAAATAATAAATAAAAGCTGACCTTTGAATTATATATTTTCGTAATGATAATAAACCTATCTCTAACAATGAATTCATGCTAATTCCATGCATAATAATTTCCTCTTATTTTATATTTGTCCTTCAGTGAGGTAATATTTAATAAATTTGGTTTAGTGAAGACATACCTGACTTGAGAGTAAAGAGTAAATACATATTAATATTCATGGATGTTATGTATATTGGAAGAAATTGTATTATTGTATTGGTATAAACATTAAATAAATGCATCATCATCATAGATTTTTTCCATTTCACCTTACCCATTAAATATAAACCCTAATAATTCATAAAATAATTTAATAAATTTAATATATGTATAAATTTAATAAATTTAATAAATTTAATATATATGTAACTGATAAATATTATTTTGAGTAATTCTTACATGTAAAGCGAAATTACATATTCATTGATAGGCAACTGTCTGAACTAGAAGTATATTCTATAAGTTTTATTCTATATATTCCTATGTTACTATTAATAAGAAATTAATTAATGAAATTACTCTTTTTTAAAGTTAATCAACAAAAACATTCTTTTTTTAAACTAATATATTTGAGATCCAGAACTTACTGAGGACCTTAGTTAATAGTTAATCTGAAACTGGAGGCTTTATACTATCTATTCCTCTCGTAGTACTTTTTAAATTATTAATATTAATAAGAATTTTTGTAAAAAATTACAAGATTTTCCTCTTTTTAGCTCTCATTTACTTTTTGAAGTCTGGGTGATTATTTTAAACTCTTTGGTGATTATTAAAATATGAATGTTTGTTTGTTTATTTTTATGATATGGTTTAAAATTACAACAAAATTTTTTTGTGTAAAGTCACATGAAACATGAAGTTTTTACAACGGAAATGAATGCACAAGAGCCTATTAAAATTGTGTAGATCATTCTAGAATCGATTTCCAAATTCGGTAAAAACCCTGACTGTAATAAAAAAAATAGCTTTTTTTGCAGAGTAGGGTTCCTAACTATAATCCTACCCCCATTTGAATATTTTTAATGTAATGATTATGAGTATTCAAAATAAATACAAGTATCTGAAATAATTATGCATATCTGAAATAATTATGAATTTCCAAAATAAATATCAAAATAATTACAAATATTTGAAATAGTTACAAAATAAATTGTATGTATTAAAATACCCATTTCAAAATTTTTCAAGGTTGTACAAATTAAATATTTAATTTTTGAGGATAAATTTATTTATTAATCTTAATCAAATCAAATCTTAATTTCTGAGGATGCCAATTGATTTGGTGAAATGGGCTGTATGTATATCATTAAGAGTGAGCATAATAATTCAACACTTAAACACTTGGCATTCACAATCAGTGTTGGCAATGGACTTATTGGACCAGTCCAAGCAGTCCAGTCCAATAAGTCCAGGTCAAATAAATCTATTGGACTCTGGACCAATTCTAAGGGATAGCCAATCATATTTCAGCATTTAAATTAACAATGACCAATAAAAATCAATTTTTTCACATCATCACCTTTTATAGATATGATGAATATTTTTTATGTTGGACTTTCTATTTGTATATATTACCATAAAGTCTGGAAAGATAGCACCCCTCAAAAGATAGCACCCCCCTACTTTAAAACAATCAAGTGTCAATATAAAAAAAATGTTACACATATGTAAAAAGGGGATGCTATCTTTCCAGACTTTACAGTAATGATATTTAAATAAAGTTATTATTTTTATCTTATTCTTTTTTAATAAATAAATACACTAAATTCATACCCAAGACTTTTTTATTTGGATTAGAAAGATTTTGTAAATTATTTATTTCTTTAGATGATGTATTAATAAAACCTTCACCATTATTATAAAGTTCATTTTCAATTGTAGTTTCTGTAAAATTGTCAGTGACCCAATTTAACCATTCTTCCTCATTTGAAAAATTATTTCAAAAAAATTTGCAATTCAACAAATGATTATGACAAGTTATTTAGTTAAAGTTATTTTCAATTCATTGATATTTATATTAGAGCTCTTACAAGCAATGTGGATTAAGGTTTCTGGTTGAAACTGCTTCTATTAGTAGCTGAAATTGCCCAAATACTTTGGGCAAAAATTATTTTTTTTTATAAGCCTAGTGGTATAATTGGAGTCTATACAGACTCCAATTATACCACTTAATTCGGACTATAACCATACCCTATAGTAGTTGGACTATAACTACCCCCAAAAATGACGTGAGAAAAGTGAATCACAACACACTTTTCAGGGTAGTTATAGTCTACCAATTGGTGACGTGCAAATTGCACTTGTCACGCCATTCAAGAGCCACCAAGGTGTGCCGTAGCTTAACGATTGCAACCGATTTTTGTCATCACCTCCATATGTGACATATTGTGTGCTGGTTTGATGATTGTGGCCAATTTCTGTGGCTGATTTCTGCCATTAGGCTACATGGGTAAAAATATATCTGATGATGCATTCAGTCATATATCATCATTTGTGGGCCCAATGTGAGGGCTATGCCCGAACCTGGCATGTAGTGCCTTAGCTTTCTGGTTAATTCCTCGATTAGGGCCAGAGTTGAGGCACATAGTGCCAAAATAGTATTCATGACCTGGATTTGTATGATGTGTTTGAATACCGATTAAGGATGAGGCACATAGTGCCAAATTGCTAGCAATTGTTAGCTTTGTATAATTCATTCAAATATCACCTGAGAATGAGGCACATAGTGCTGAATTGTTAGCAGTTATTTGGTAGACACCCAAAGCATAATTTTATATTATATATATCTGTAATAATTTTACTTTGACATGCTACTGATTTAGGATAAGGCACTATGTGCTAAATATTATCCCACTTGGTAGTCACCCAAAGCATAATTTTTATAATATATATCTTTCTGTAATAATTATTCCTTGGGGTACTACCAAATAATAGCTATGTTTCACACTCTTTGATCCCCTTCTCGTGCAGTTGATATTTTTATATATCGAAGCACATAGTGCCGAATTGTTAACTGTTATAATGCACTCAAATATCGCCCGATGATGAGGCATATAGTGCCAAATGTTATCCTACTTGATAGTGTCCCAAAGCGTAATTTTATATATATCTGTAATAATTTTTCTTTGGGATACTACCACTTCACATTAGTGGAACTAGTAAAGCTAAAAAAATCTTTATGTCTCGGTATACCTTTGGATACTATTATATTAAAATACTTTGGGATACTATCGTTTCATATTAAAATACTTTGAGATACTATCGTTTCATATTAAAATACTTTAGGATACTATATTTCATATTATACAGTCTCCAGCGAAAGTAATGGCGGTGATAATTTTTTAAAAACTAAAAATTTTTAACAAGCAACTATCAATAAAATTTTATTTTTAAAACGCCTCTAAGTAAAACATC